TGCTAATATCTGAATAAAAGAAGAATGGAATTAGTTGTCTAAGAGGGATAAAAGCTTGTGTAAATTACTAATGAGTTTGCGTTGATGTTAATGGGAGAGCAGCGCAGCACAGCACAATGAAACTTACTGGGTTAGTTCACCATTGTGGTTCCAGCATGAATGGTCATGTTTTTCTTTGGCTCAATCCAGTATTTTCTCCTTATTAGGAGAGAGGAGGCCTGATGTCCACCAATTCACCACCGCTCTCCCACAGCTGGGATCTCTTGGCCTGGTTGTGGGGCCAGTTCTCCCCACAACGAGACTAAAGGACAGATTGACCAAGATGTAAATGGAAGAGTAGTTAGTTGTATGCTCAGTTATAGGCTGCATACCTGCAGATATTGAAGATGTGGGACCTGGACCTACGTGATATTCACCAAATATTCCATGGAAACAGCCAGATGTATGCATGTCAGATCCAACACAGTACTGATTATTGTGGTGGACTCCTCATTCTTGTGATCCAGTTCACTGACTATCTCTGTGTGATTTATATATACTTCAATATCATTTATTTTTGACTCTGTACTTTGAAATATTGGCATATGGGTTTTGGACTATGTTTATGAGGGGATTTAATTATTTAGCTTATCTGTATTTCTGGAACTATGACTTTTACCAGTAAGTTCTTGGGATGATGATTTGTTTGCCTTGGAAGGGTTTTACAAGTGGATATGGTAATATTGAAGAGTATTAGCTTGCTTTCGGTTGAGAAAGGTCAGGATTTTTTTTTGATTAATGGAAAACTTATACTTTGAAAGCTTTTATTTGTCAGTTTGCAGAAGTCCTGATTGGAGTTAGATATATGAAGCAATTTCCTTGAGAGAAAGGATTTTGTATAGAACTGTTAGAAAATAGCATAAGGATTTTAATTTGAAAGCTACAGAGTAGAAGTGTTTTGTTAGAACCCTAAACTGTTTATTTGAAATGAAAATTTCTAAGCTCGGCTTTGCAAAAAATCAAGTAAGAGGCCATCAAATTCTCAAGGCCAAGTAGAGAAAGAAAGTTAAGTTGAACCTTTGGATGTGCCATAGATGTGCACCCTGGCATTTCAGTACTGTAAAGGGATAGTGTAGGGATAGGTGGGACTGTACTATTTTACTGTACGCTTCAAAGTGTTCCCAAATTGTGTAATATGTAAATAGCTTGATTTGTTCTATTTTACTTTGCTTCTTTTTGCATAATAAACTTACGGTTTATTGTCAAAACCAAATCTACAGCATTGTGTGCTCGTGTTTCAGTGAAAGACAGCCTTGCTGAATTTAAAAAAAATCTATCAAACCAGAATTCAATCTAGTATCTCACTTATCCACTAATAACATTAGCTAGGATCCCAACAATTGGGGGTTCAAGCAAGATTTGAATTCACTGGATTTAATAATGTTCTGTGTCTTTTGTTTAAAATAATGTGGTGGTTCTGGACATAAAATGGCTGCTTTGTTCTAGAGTTCATTCCACAGAATTTGAGAATGGCCCCCTTCCCCTCTCCCATTTCTGAAGAAGGGTCTCGACCCAAAACGTCAGCTTTCCTGCTCCTCTGATGCTGCTTGGCCTGCTGTGTTCATCCAGATCCAAACCTTGTTATCTCTTATGACACAAGGTAGGGCTTCATTTAACTCATTACTACAAATATGTTAGCGATTCTGAAAGCCTTCCTGAGCCAGTACACATGGAGTTATATAACATGGAAATGGACCCTTTGGTCCAATCCCATCTGCCTGAGCTTGGCCCATATCCCTCCAAGTATTTCTTATTCGTGGACTTATCCAAAATGTCTTTTCAACGTTGTAACTGTACACGCATCCACCACCTCCTCTGGAAGTTCATTCCACACACGAACCACTCTGTGTAAAAAAAAAATTGCCCCTCATGTCTTTTTAAAATCTTTCTTCTCTCACCTTAAAAATACGCCTCCTAGTCTTGAAATCCCCCACACTAGAGAAATGATACTGGCTATTCTCCTTATCTATAACCCTCATTATTTTATAAACCTCTATAAGGTCACCTCTCAACCTCCCTCCCTGCATTGAAAAAGTCCCACCCTATTCAGCCTCTCCTTATAACTCAAGCCCTCCTTTCCCAGCAACATCCCACTAAATCACTTCTCAACCCTCTCCCGCACAATGTCCTGTACAACCTCAACATAACTTCCCAACTCCTACACTCAAAGGTCTGAGCAATGAAGGCAAGCATCCTAAATGCCTTCTTAACCACCCTATCTATATGTGATGCAAACTTCAAAGAATTGTGTACCAGAACACCTTGGTCCCTCTGTTTTACAGCACTGCCCAAGGCCCTACTTTTAATCGTATAAGTCTTTTCTGTGTTTGTTTTACCAAAATGCAACACATCTGTAAACACTTGTGGAATTGCAGAAATGGATGTAAATGTAAATGTTTTGTATTCGTTCGTGGGATGAGGGCATCGTTGACTAAGCAGCATTTATTATCCATCCCTAATTGCCCATTGGGCAGTTGAGAGTCAACCACATTGCTTTAGGTTTAGAGTCACATATAGGTTAGACCAGGTAAAGATGGCAGTTTCCTTCCCTAAAGGACATTAGTGAACCAGATGGGTTTTTCCGACAATGGACAATGGTCGTCATTAGACTCTTAATTCCAGATTTTTATTGAATTCAAATTCCACCACCTGTCATTGTTTGGATCGAAACCCAGGCTCCCAGAACTTTGGACTAACAGTCCAGTGATAGTACCATTGGGTCACTGCTTCCCCCCAATTCGCCTCGATGGCACTGCATTAAGACTGTCATACAAGCTACATAGCAATGTGAAAAGAATTTTAAGCCAGGCTATGCAAGCAGCAACATGGGAAATAAACCTGTAGCAGTTCTGATTTTCAATCATTCTGGCATAAATGAGTGTAAATTTTGCCTGAGTGAACAGATGATGCAGCTCCATGATGACAAATTTGGTAAACCAAAGACCCCACAAATATTGATCCTTTGAAAAATTCAGGCATGAGTGCCTCTGTCTGTATGTTATTTTTCTGGTAATAGCATAATGTAGGTGTACACCTACACCACTATCTGACATCTCTCTCTTGACTCTCATTCTCTTTAAATGAACTACAGCACAGAGATTGCTCATGGCCTAAAAGAACAACAGTAACATCAGCTCCACAGGAATTGGTACAAAGGCGGCTAGTAAAGTAATTGACAGAAGCAAAAGCAATCAAAGAAAGACATTTTAAGCTGATGCAATCAACTTTGATGCTAATCTTTTTTGTATCTTTGACTCAATACCTGTATTAAATGGTCAGAAGTGGGGACGTTGGCAAGTGATTGCACAATGTTCAGCACCGTTTGTGAATCTTCATTCTGAACCAATCCATCTTCATATTGTCAATATCCAGGCTTGGACTAACAAGTGGCAAGTAACATTTGTGCCAAACAAATGCCAGGAAGTGATCATCTACAGTAACAGACAATCTAACCATTGCGCCTTGACATTCAATTAGAGTGTTGCCCTCACTGAGGTCTACCACTATCAATATCTTGGAGGTTACCATTGACCAGAAACTCAACTAGATTCACGCTATAAATAGAGTGGATGCAAGAGTTAGTCAAGCCTAACTCACCTCCTGACATCCCAAAGCCTGTCTACCATTGACTAATCACAAGTCAGGAATGTGATGGGACACTCCTCACTTGGCTGGATAAGTGCAGCTCCAACAGCACTCAAGAAGCTTGACACCATCAAGGACAATGCAGCCTACTTGATTGGCACTACATCCACAAACATCCAACTCCTCCAATTTGCAGCAGTATGTACTGTCTACAAGATGCACTGCAGAAATTTGCCAAAGGTCTTTAGAAAGCGCTTTCCAAACCCATAACAACTTCTATCTTCCAGAAGGACAAGGGCAGAAGATGTATGGTAATATCACCAACTGCAAGTTCCCTTCTGTGCAGCTCACTATCTGACTTAGAAATCACCAAGCCTTCACTATCATTGGGTCAATATCATGGAATTCTCTCTTTAATAGTATTGTGAGTCTACCTACAACACATGGACTGTAGTAGTTCAGTAAGGCAGCTCACCACCACCTTCTCAAGGGCAACTAGGAATGGTCAATAAATGCTGGATAGCCAGCAACACCATGTCCCATGAGTGAATTTTAAAAAAAATCTTTAATACCTCCTCTACTAGATCAAGAGATGAAACAGATCAAATAAGACAGAGGGAAATAACAGCATGACACCAACTTCATTTCTATGTAACTGCCTTAAATGGGTAGAAACCACATGCAGCTAACTGAAATGATGTTGAAAATGAAGCTGTCAACAAAAGGACAAAGATCTAATGTCATAGGACTTAACCCAGATTTCAGGTGAGGTCTGCTAATGTAAACCTGCAAATTAGATAGACCCAAGTAGAAATTTAGGCTACTAACTCTAAATATATATATATATATATTAGCGTTGTTGGGGAAATAAAATAATCAAAAATCTTAATTACATATGTTAATAACTGGCATTTGTTTGCTGAAAATATCCTGATAATGGAACACTTCCTTTTAACTCTTCGATAAAACTCTTTCTCTTGACTTTCCTCAATTATTCTTCTCTTTCAGTTTTATCTACCAGACATTTCGTACTGAAAAAATTTAAAACTGAGGCTGAAGTGTTATATAAGATGGAATAGACTATTTCCATAAATTTCCTAACTTAGAAAGGAAGCGCATCCCAGTGTGTCTTACAAAATTCAATAATTTTGACATCTTTTTAAGTAGCACATAGTACATAATATGTGTATTACACATTTGAAGGACTCTACATTATTTCTAGATTACTCTATTTACTTGTAATCTACTTTACAATTCTGAATAATTATTATTTTAGCTGACTATAGTAATTGATTTATTTGTTTCCCTTGCTGGAAAAACATAATATATACTTTACTTCAAAAGTTAATCATATTATTTTTTGTCAAAATTTACAGCAAGGAAATCAACATCCCTTTAAGATGTAGCTGTCCAATTGATTTTGAATTCCAGATAAATTTTCTTCAACCTCATCGTGCATTCACAATTCAGCCAACAGCAGGTGAGAGAACTTCCAATATTACATTAGTAATTTGTATTGGCAATTAATGGTGCATTGTCATAGTCATACAGTCATAAAGCATAAAGGCAGCTGGAGAATTAATTAAGAGAAGCAAAACAAATTGAAGAAATACAATTTATGCCGACACAATCAGCTTTGATGATGGGCTGCTGTATATCTTTCCTTCATATTTCCTGTGTATCTTTCCTTCAGCCCATCAAGTCTGCACTAAACTATCTATGCATGTTCCACTTCCTTGCACTTGGCCCACGTTATGAGGTTTCAAGCGCTCAGCCATGTACATTTTTAAATTTTGCACAGGACAAAATGTCTGGTAAATAAAATGGAAAGATTTAGAGTTATTATCCTAAATTAAGGCAGGTGCTAGCCCCCTACCCCACAAACCAGGCCTTGTTATCACACAGCCTGCCATTACGCACTACCTATCATTAGTCACTAACGGTCCCCATTAACAGCTATTCACCCTCTTATCAACTCCTTTATCTATCCAACTGCTCTTCTCTCTCTTTGGGCTCTATCCTTTATCCTATTGTTTACTCCCTACCCCCTCCCCTCCTTAATTTCTGCATATAAACTGACGTTTTCCTAGCTACCATCAGTTCTGAGGGAGGGTCACCGGACCCGAAATGTTAGGCTCTGATTTTTCTTCACACGCTGCCAGACCTGCTGAACTTTTCCAGCAACTTCGGTTTTTTGAACCGAAATTTCTATTTGGATCATGGTCCTCATAAGCTCATAATCCTCTATCAGGTCTTATTCTCAGTTCACACTCCATACTCAAACAATATCTTTCTGCCAAACAAAGTAAATATGGTTCTTCTGTACTTTTTGGAAATTTTGATTAAATTCATAGAATCCCTACAGTGTGGAAACAGGCCCTTCGGCCCAACAAGTCCACACCGACCCTCAGAGCATCCCACCCAGACCCATTCCCCTATAACCCACCTAACCTAGACATCCCTGAACACTACGGGCAATTTAGCATGACCAATCCACCTAGCCTGCACATCTTTGGACTGTGGGAAGAAACTGGAGCACCCAGAGGAAACCCACGCAGACATGGAGAGTGTGCAACCTCCACACAGTCACCCGAGGGTGGAATTGAACCCAGGTCCCTGGTGCTGTGAGGTAACAGTGCTGACCACTGAGCTACTGTGCCGCCCCTTTAAATGTCATGCGTCGGTAGCGAAGCAAACTCTAGGTTGGAATTTTCCTTAAATTTAAAAGATAAATGATTCAAAATCTTTTTTTCTTTTCTCTGAATATGTTCAGTGATTTTTAGCAAATGTACAGAAAAACAGAAAACATGCAAATAACCATTCAAGTCAATAAGTTATTGTTAGAGAATTAAATGATCAAATGCACAAAGTTGATCTGTTATGAATAAGAACATACAAAATAGGAGCAGGGATAAGTCATTTGACACATTAGCCTGCTCTGCCATTTAATAAGGTCATGGTTGATCTGCCCCAGGCCTCCATACCTCTTATGTGCCAGGTCCACAAAGCCCCTCAACTCCCTGGTATTTCAAAAATATATCCATCTCTTTCAATACTTTACATGATGTAGCCTTCACAACTCTTTGGGGCAGAGAATTCCAGACATTCATTACCCTCAGAGAGAAAGAGTTTCTTTGCATATTCGTTTTAAATGACTATCCCCTTATTCTGTAAGTACTTTCACTAGTTTGAGATTCTCCCACTAGTGGAATCATCATCTCAACATCTACCCTGTCAACCCCCCTCAGAATCTTACATATTTCAATATGACTACCCCTCATTTTTCTGACCTGTCATGAAGAAAGATCAAACCTGTTTAGCCATTCTTGATAAGTCAAGCCATTCATAAGGAATCAGTTGAGTGAATCTCGTTTCAACTGCCTCCAATGCCAATACATCGTTTCTTGGATACTAGGCGAAAACTTCATTAATTGTACAGGTGTGACCTCACCAACACCAGGTACAGTCATAACAAAGCGCTGTTTATGCTTTTATTTTGGCTGAAAACCCATATTGTACGACGGTTAAAAGTTTTTAAATTAACTATTGATGTGATTGCACAGCTGAGGACCTTTTTCAGAATCAACCGAGTGAGGCAACATAAAATGGATATAATATTCTCAATGGGAATTAAACAAGACCTTGCGCACAAAAGTATTTTTTTAATTTTATATAAAAATGTCTAAACTGTCATTCCTTATACTTTTATATGCCTTTGAAATAGCTTCTCAGTGCTGGATTGTGGACCTTTAGACACTTATGTACTTTATCATTGAGGTCTCTTTCCCTTCCAACAGACTTTAATATATATGTGATTCATATCAATTTTTAACTAACTGGACCTACTGCAAGCTGGTCTGTAGATCTAGATCCTCCAATACTCTATGCCAGTTTCTTTGTTAATTTAGTAATTTATATTCAGCTGTGAAAGGAATAAGAAATCATTAATGTACTGAAGCTACAGAATTTTTTCCATCTCCTTTAAAGTAGTTTTCTCCTCACAGAAAGCTCACCTGTAGTTTACTGTTTATATTTCTTGGTAAGCTTTTTCAGGTTAGGTGTGTCCTTCATCATTTTATATTATGTCTCAGTGTTCCTCCTGTCACTGAGTTTTCAGTGATATGGTAGTGTAGCACGTGAATTTTTTTTGTGAGACAACTGTATACTGCTTTGCCAAAGGTTTCCTGCATGTTTCTTCCAGTTAACGAAGCTAACTTTGACACCAGATTCAGCACAAAAACTGGGCTAAATTGAATGGCCCCATCAGCAGGCTGGTAAAGCCCAGCCCAATCAATGCACTTCAAGCAATCGACTGTCTGGCATCAGAGCTTTAATCCTTAAAGGGAACAAGATCTCACTTCCAAGTACTGCTGACCAGTGAGCCAGCAGCTCTTTGTTCTTAGAAGCACCACCAAGAATAATGGTCATTGCTGCCATTGCAGCAACAATATACAAGGCCCTGGAATTAAATTTCGCCAGTATTTATGCATCTATCTAAAAGTATGGAGGCCTATAAGGAGAAAAGAAATTGGGAAAATGTCCCAGGAAGCTTCTAGTGTTTGTATTCAAAACAGTAAGAAAGATCATGGATGTTATAAAAATGTAGCATTATTATAAGCATTAAATGTATGATTAATGTATTTTGTTTGCCTCACAGGAATAATACCAGCCAATGGACAAGTTGACATTGTTGTCAAATACACTCCATTTGATCGTACTACAGCTCAAATTAGGGTCCAACTCCTCATCTCTCAGTTCAACTCAAAACCTTGCATTTGTACTATCATTGGCACTTCTTCTCCAAGGATTGACCTTAGGTAAGTAATAGATGAAGAAATGAAAAATTAAATAATTTCTTGTTTTGTGAAATGGTATTAAACTTATATAATATGATCACAGATATGAATCCTGAAATTCCAGGCAGTTTGCTGGGACTTCTCTCTGTCCGATTCTGATATTGGCGCCATCTGAAATTCTGTTATGAGTGAATTTACATATTTTAGACAATGTCTGTGCTATTTTGGCACAACCATGGCATCCATCTTGGTTCAACAAGGAGTGTAGAAGAAAACCACTGTGGTGCCTTGCTACAACCTATGAGTCAATATGCCAGATTAGTTTAAACGACAGTTGAAAATCTCAGCATCTAGATCTGTTGCATTAAAGTGGCAATTGTCTATTCTGCAATTGACTGCAACAAGAAAATCAAAATTAAAAAAAAACAAAGAGACCAACTTCAACCAGGAATTTCTCATGATACCTATGTATGTATCTTCCATTAAATTTGTTGAAAATAACTAATGTTATTGGTGGCACCTATCCAGACCTTATAGTTTATTTTAATATATTTATTTTTGGGATGTAGTTGTTGCTGTCTCAGCCAGCATTTGTCGCCCATATCTATTTGCTGCTGCAAAAGTGATGGTGAGCTACCTGCTAGAGCTGCTGCAATCCAATGGCCAGGGTGGGGTGAACAGTGGCACATTGGCACATACACAGTGCTTTTAGGAATGGAGCTCCAGGATTTTGACCCAGTGACAGTGAACGAATGTGATATAATTCCAAATCAGTATGGTGTGTGGCTGGGAGGGGTACTAGTGGATGGTGGTGCTCCCATGTACCATTTGTCTTACCCTTCTAGGCTGAGGTTTCATGTTGCAAGGATGCTATTCAATGCGCATTGGTGAGTTGTTGCAGTGCATCGCGTAGATGATACACACTACTGCCACTATACGTTAATGGTGAAGGGAGTAAATGTTGAAGGTGGTAGATGGAGTGCCAAATAAGCACCCCATCTGGATGTTCTGCAGGTTTTCAAGCTTCTTGAGTGTGATTGGAGCTGCAGCCATTCAAGCAATTAAAGAACATTCTATCCTACTCCTGATTTTTGTCTTGACTTTGGGAGTCAGGAGGTGAGTTATTGTCCACAGAAATTCACAGACTCTGACCTATACCAGGAATGATATAGCTGGATCACACATGGGAGTGACGCCTACTGTGGTTAAAAAGCCATGAAAAATCAGGCAACTGAGACGTTACAAGAAGTAAATCCTGGGATTTTTCCTGACTGTGTGGTAACAAGGTTACAAAGCCACAGGTTGAAACAGGAGGAGAAATCATGGAAGAAAGATAAGAAAGTTGAAGTACGATTATCAGAAACTATGTTTGATCAAATGATTGAGAAGAAGTCGGAACATGCGGAGGGCAAAGTGGATTTGTTCAGAAATATTAGTTGAATTGCAGTTTTATGCAAAAATATAAACTGAATAAGAATCTGAGTGTATCCCAGAATATCACTACCTTAAAAATGAACTATAGATGAGGAAATAGAAACCATTATATATTCAGGTAGATAAAAATTGGGCAGAAGATCATCAAGTTGTATTACCGGTGGGTTATAGAAAGGAGGTGTTGTGGGTAGCTCTTGAGGTACCAGTAGGAGCTCATTTGGGAGTAAGGAAAACTCAAGCCAAAATACAGAAACATTTTTATTAGCCTGGACAAAACTATGGTTTCAGTCTAGTTTACAGCAATTGTTGGGGTTTTGAAGTTGGCTGTAGAAACTGCTATATATCTCTCTCAGCCATATAAAATAAAGCTGGAGTTCTCTCTCCCTCTGCTGTCAGAATTGCATGTGACACAATCTACTTTACTGAATTTGCCTTTGTCAAGGGTGTCTTTATGAGATGTTACTATATTGGAATAGTTATAGAGTCATAAGATCATAGGGCTGTACAACATGGAAACAGACCCTTCGATCCAACCCATCCATGCCGACCAGATATCTGAAATTAATCTAGTCCCGTTTGCCAGCATTTGGCCCATATCCCTGTAAAGCCTTCCTATTCATATACCCATTCAGATGCCTTTTAAATGTTATAATTGTATCAGCCTCCACCACTTTCTCTGGTGACTCATTCCATACACACACCAATCTCTGTGTGAAATATTTGCCCCTTTGATCCCTTTTAAATCTTTCTCCTCTCACCTTAAACATATTGCCTCTGGTGTCTTTGTTCAGCAACACTCCTCAGGACGTTAGCATTAAGTGTATAAGTCCTACCCTGATTTGTTGTTGCTGTTTAGTAGTTAAATAATCATTATTCTGTTACTTTTTCCAGTAGATTTAAAGTTACACCAATTCTTCTTTCTTTTGTTTGTATTTTAATTGGGTGTAAGAATAAAGTGTGTTTTGCTTAAAGCTGAATAGTGTAACGAATCAAATTACAATCTGGAACACAGCACCTTACAATTGCCTTTAAATAAGATAAAAGTTAAACTCGAGGCTATCTCCTTGATATATTTGAAGGCATTTGGCCTTGTCCATAACAGTAACACACATGGTTAAATATGCAATTAATGCTGATTTTATGATGAATGGATGTAAATCCTGTGGATCACCTATTTTGTGATGAAACATATTTTTGAAATGCTGCTTCATCTTATAAGGATGGAGGCATGTAAGGATTGTATCTTTTTACTTTTCTTTATTTTTGATCGTGGACTGAAATATGTACAAGGCTTTTACAAAAACAAGCATTGTGAAAGGGATTGCTGCACATTTAAACGCAAGCTATTAACAATTAAGTGCCTTTGGTTTTTTAAGCACTGGGGAAGTCTAATTGCAGACAAACAAGCACCAGGGAATGTGTAGAGAGTCAGATTCAGTTGGCAACAAATAGCTGATTAGTCTGTAGAATGGCAACCATTTGTCAATGATAAAAGCCTTCTTTCCATCAACAGTTATGTGTCTGACTTCACAGGTAGCTAAACAGCTTGTAGATATGATCTGTATTGTCAAAAACTTTCAGATCACTGAAAGGGGAAATGGTATCCTTTTCTGTGCAGTGAGGAAGAAAACATCTAAAGTCAAAGAAAACCAGTTTATATCCTTCACCAGTTGTTGTATGCTGTTGCATTTAGCCAACATCTCAGAGGCTATATAAGCTGAGACTGAAGCTGGACCAGTTTCTCTGTGCCTCTTGCAAACAAGTGAAGACTCTAGAGAAGAAATCGTGGAGTACCAAGTGTTGGCAAGCCAAAACGTTCTGTTCAGTGAACGCTATGGACAGGGACATTGAACTACCTTCCTAGGTTTTCCCTTCAGCCATAACACTAACTTTTATTTGTCTGTCTGAGTCTGTATGTTTATGTGTGTACAAGGAGTTTTTGAAGGGGTTGGAGTTTTAACTATTTGACCCATTGTTTGTCATGGAAAACTAGAATCTATTTGTAATAAACAGTAATTCTTGTTTAGTACACATGCTTTCTATCAATCTGAATCGAAAAAAACAAGTAATTTGGGTTATTTTGTGTACTTGTATAAATCTTTAACTTTTGTGATGACTTCCTGGGTAGGAGGGCTTAATTTCGAGTGTGCTACCCAGTAAGCCATAATAACTCAAACAACTGAGAAATACACAAAGTTACGTTTCAATTTTAACCAAAGTGGAAAATGCACTTTCTTCTCATAGGAATACAAACCATTTACCTTAATCCAGAACATTTGGATACAGATAGAAAAGTGTTAAGGTTTAAGGAAACACAGTGCGTGCCTTATTAAACCCACATATCCTTGTGTCAAACAATATTCTAGATATTTTCTAATCAATTTGTTCAGAGATACTCTTATGGACTAGAACCTGGGCCTCCTGGCTCAGAGGAAGTTACACTGCCACTGCACAACAAGAGCCCTCGTGTCACAGTACTTTTTAAATATATTTTCTAATCTCTCTGTTCAGAGATATTATTACACACTTCTGCAACATTTGGGACTTGAACTTTGGTCTTATGGCCCAGAAGTGGGTACGCTAGGGGTGCAAGAGCCCTCGTGTATTTTTTTAATTCATACACAGGATGTGGGCATAATTGCCAAGAGGCATTAAACTGTCAACCTCAGGTAAGGATGGCAGATTTCCTTCCATCAAAGACATTAGTGAGCCAGATAGATTTTTCCCAGCAATCAGCAATGGTTTCATGGTCATTGTTAGGCTCTTAGTTTGAGATTTTTATTGAATTCCTTTTCTACTGTCTGCCATGGTGGGATTTTAGCCTGTAGTAGTACTGAATATTTCCTGCCACCCACCATCCACTACATCACCAATGGTATTTTTTTTTCCTTTATCCTTCATCACTAAAATAACCTATGTGTGTCACATCTAATTATCAATTTATATACAAAGCCTTTCTGGGGTAAGTGTCGCAGAACATTGGTATGTTTCTTTAATTTGTTCAGCTGGATGTAATCTCTCCATTGTCTTGCATGAAACAAGGTGGAAAGGATCCTAACTTTCAATGACAAATTTACCTCTCCAGATTTCTTTATTAAGTCAAGTTGATTCGATGTTTGAAAAAAGATCTATTTCACTATGGAATAATGTGAACCTGCATGCCTCAGTAATTGTGTGACTTCTCTACCATAGTGAATACATTTATGTGTAATATCACTTTATTAGGTTTGTCATCTTCAACTGAAGTCAACCTCAGTGAGAGACTGCTTATCTCCCTCTTCCAAACCCCTTCCATTTGAAAGCATGTACCACCAGCTGTCAATTTTGCTTGATGAAATAGAACAAGACTGGATCAGTTGACCAGTATTTCAGAACACTGCAGTACAAATATAAAACCTATGATGCATGGCACACTGTTAAGTTGTACTTTTAATTAGAAACTGAAAGTGCAATACTTTGTGAATATAGATTTCCAATTTGCATTCCAATTAAAAATAATTAGATCTTGTTCAAAATGATCTGGAGGTGTTCAGTACATTTAGATGAGCAAAGTATTGATTTTTCTTAAGTTTGTTATGTGGAACATC